GACAAAAAGTGCGAACACACAGACACACACACGCACACACACACACACACACACACACACACACAGCCTCTTCCCAACGTTTTTGCAATTTACATATATGCAAAAGAACTGGGTAATTAAGTGCTAGTTGCTACGGTAAGTTGGGTGAAGCGAAATTTGCTTTGAATGTCTTGTTGTGGCTAGTTGATGAATAAATGAGGACATGTTGACTGACTGCGTAACAGAGCGGCCGCAGCATTTTAATTTTAACTATGCTATGCTTGAAATGATTTGCAGTGATTGGAGCGTTTTTCTTTTTCACGATGATAACTGTGGTGATTTTGAATTCGGCCAACGGCGTCTATCAGAACTCACTGTACGGCTTGGTTGCCGCCTTCCCGTCTCAGTATACCAACGCTGTAGTGCTGGGCACCAACATATGCGGCACATTCGTCTCCATCATTAACATAATTACGCTTCTCGGTTTGTCACTCCCTGTTTGCTTATTGTTTGTTCATTTTTTAGTTGACTCATTAGTTACAAAATTATGACGAATGAGAGAAGAGATGCTTTTCACAAAGACCTCACCAATTTCTATATGAGATCTAAAGTGGGGTCATTTAAAATTAACTGTCGTCGTTGGGTGTTCTTCGATCACCATTCTAGATTGCACTTGCGTTGTACTTTTTTGTTATTTCGAGAAAAAAACGGACTCTTGTCGCCGAAAAGCTGGTTTGAAAATTACAGTATTACCGCTTTGCTGAAACATTGTTTTTGCTGAACAGTAGATCCTGATGGAATGCACGCTTCCCTTATAAAAAATTATTACTTTCTAAAGATTTCAAGCTGACGGGCGTGAACATAGCAGTGGCGTTTTCCGGAAAGTTAATATTCAACGTAATTGAGTAGTGCATGTGCATATTGCAAGTCCCAACAAGTCGGCTTCTAGTTGTGGCACCGTTTCACCTGTAGAGCTGCTCACATCTATCCATGAGAACGTTTATCAACAGTAAGCCAACGCTGAAATGCGCCATGTCCCCTGTTATACTTTTTTACCGTTGCAGTTTGTTAGTGAATACGGTTGTCGCTGGCAATAAAACCCGAGTGAGAATGACGAAAGCCGGTCGTAAGCTGGCTGTTACAGCCGAGGCATTGATTTTGAGTCGAAGGCTGTCTGTTTTCAAACATTTCCTTGTAGTTTAGTCAGCCATTTTCCGTGATTCTTGACAGGCATCAAACAAAGTGTATTAAAAGCTTCTTCTTTGTGATTTTGGCGTATGCAGTTGAATATCTCTAGAATTTACCAGTTCATTTTCTCCCATGAAACCAAAGAAGCTGAATTTTTATAAAGAGATTCAGGATTCTTTCAGGGAAGTAGTATTTGTAGTGGTTTATAGACCCACTGTCAGAGCGAACACCTTTAGGCCAGTAGGAGATCGGGATCGTCACAGGTACTGAATTCAAAGAGAGTTCATTACCTCATTTCATGCATACAGCGCTTCCAGATCGGATATTTGGCATTAGTGAAGTAATACCGCTTTAAAATACAGGGATTGCTCCGCTATTTGATGATTTTGTGACTGCTCTGATCTGAGGGTCTTCTGTAGCACATCAGAGCAGACAAAGAATTGTCTTCCTTATTGGAGTAAAGCGTTAAACGATGCTGACAACCCTGCAACTAAATCGTTCGGATGTTTTCTTTCAGAAGCAATGTTTTGTATTTGCAGTTTGGTGCGCAGTCTACGTGATGAACTGTGCTTGCCAGTAACTGCCGTTTGTCTGTCCCTCTTTCAAAAGTCAGTGCGGAAACGTTCTTTAGTAGTGCTAGGTTTAAGGCCTTGAATTATCAAGGATTACTGGTGCTCACTGCAGCAGCAAACTGTGCTCTGTGGCTTGAATGTTGAGGTAGCAAGTCATGAATAGCTAATTCTGTGTCCCTTAACATGCTTTAAATTTTAATTTTTGTTTCAGTCGCAAGTGATGTTAAAATTGCCGCTCTCCTGTATTTCCTGATATCATTTCTGACAATTCTGGCATGCTTCTTATCCATCTTCCTACTTCCGAAATTCGTATGTCCACAGTATTAGTTTTAGCTATTTGCTGTTTGATTTTTGAAGGGGGAAAACCGAAAATGACAAAACACTGCTCAAGAACTGTTTCAGGAATTTTATAACTTTTATATGGAAAAAGCAAAAAAGCGCGATGAGCACAATGAAGTCGATGGCATTAAGTACATCGAGGCAGAGGTGATACCGAAAATTGATGGAGTGAAACTAACTGCGGAAGGTGACAAAGTAGAGGTGTTAGATTCAGGTTTTATGGCAAAACTACATCTGTACTATAGAATATTTAAAAAGGTAGGCTGATTTTTGCAAGTTTCCCTGATTACAGTTTGTAATCTGCACATTTCCCCAGAAACTGCACTCACAATAGAGATATTATGGTATATATATATATATATATATACAAAATCATATTAAAAAATTGAACAGAAATGTTTCGGTCCATTAAGTCGTGTACATTCCTATTCAGCACCATAATTGGAAAGGTCTATTGCATTTGATTTGTTATTTTTGACTGGCGTAGTCATAAACTGGGCTTGGGCGGTAATTCTTTTTCCCTTCTCAAAAATGTCGGGTTCGTTCGCACAGAAAATAATGGTAGCATACCAGTTTAATAAGAGAAGAAGTAAACGCAGGTTGTCCAAGAAACACAGAATTTAGCTTGAGGCACGCAAATTCATCCATGATCGTAGGAATGGATGAGTAGCCGACTTGCGGCACTGCTTATTCGAGCACTTGATTTTGTTGTTGTGCAAGTTTCGATGTTCAGATTCGAAAATCTTATTTGCTTTCGTTAATGCATCAAAAGCATCACTGAAAATTAAATTAATAGTTCGGTTTGTTTGGGAGCATGTCTCATCCTCGTCGGCCTACTTCCCTTCTCACGAATTACAATACCAAAAATCTCTTGGATTTGTAACATGCCCTGTCTCACCGTCCGAAAAGAGACTTCGCTACAGGTCTGGATTCAGTGCGTTAATGTGTGGTGTGTGTTCTTTGTAACACTGGCTTTGTTCCCAGCAGTGATGGCTGATGTCAAATACAGCAGCAAAACTGGCAAATACGACTTCTTCATTCCTGGTAAACACTTTATGAGTGCCATTTCGTTATCATTAGCTAACACTAGTTGACTGTCTAATAAAATCGCCTTAACATTTCAGCATTTGTGAACTTTATTTGGCTTATTTTTAGAGTTTCTGTTCACAGCATTTACTACGTATCTGTTGTTCAATTTCCTGGCTGCGCTTGGATCATTCTTGGCAAACTTCGTCCAGTGGGTATGTCTCTCTTGTCTTTTCAGACTTAAGGACTACATTTTCTTCACAATCATCACCCCATTTTTCATGAAGTGAACTGCACATCAAAATGCTTTCAGCCATCAGCAAAATGGTTGGTAGTTCCGGTGGTAGTACGATTCGCGTTTATTCCATTAATAATGTTTTGCAATTATCGACCTGGATTCCGAACATGGGGAGTATTGTTCGACAACGTGTGGGTTTACATCTTGATGGCCAGTATCATGTCCATAACCAGTGGCTACTTCAGCTCTCTAGCCATGATGTACGCCCCAAGGTATTACCCTTTCTAGCTTGTTCCTCTAAATTTCGGAGAAATTGCTGACACAGAGGCGCGCTATTTTTTGTGTTTTTGCGCATTCATGCAAATGCGAAAACGCATATTGATGAGAGGTTGCCGATGTGTGTATAAGTGTACGTTTGTGTTTGTGTACATGTGTTCGGCCATGCTCAGTTCTGCAGAAGCTAGAAGCTGGAATTCCATGAGGATGTTCCTAATCCGCATGCGATTCCAGTAATTTAAATTTAACGTCCGCGCCTGAGCTTTAAGTACGGGCGCCTAAAAGGCATGTAAGCTTTTTGGCGGGAAAACGACTTCGGAAGCTAGGCGGAAATAGAAGGCTGAGAATTCAGGCAGAATGTGAGGCTGAAAATTGAATATTTTCTGCTCATGTGTGAGCAAATGATTTTAATTTCGGTTATCGCGCACACCTGTATTGCGTGTGCGGACACATTTGAGTTGGAATGGAAAATAGGCTGAACTGAATGCCGTGCACGCCTAGGTCTCGTGTGAGTGCAAGCGAAAATGGGACGCTTTTGGCAGCCAATTGACTTTGTAACCGGGCTGAGCAGGGAACAGTATTTTTCTGAGGATGTTTTCTATTCATGTGCAAGCTAGCAGGCATAAAATTGTCTTTTACTTACGCAACTGTCCTGCGTACAAATACATCATTTGTTCAAATTGCAACGCCGCGGTAACGCCACGATAGAGGCGAACTCTGTGCGAGACAGAATCATGGAGAAACACTTGATTGCACCAGCAATTCTACTGATTAATTTTTTAGACTGGTGGAACCGTCAAAATCACCTGTTGCTGGCATGATAACTGCCTTCTTCCTAATGTTTGGTTAGTCCTTTTTATCTGTTTGACTTTCCACTTTTTTGTTCATTTGCATTACACTGAAAAGCAAAATTTCCAAGGGTTGTGAATTTTAACGATTTCTGTTTGTTTTTGTTCTTGTACGCTTTCGCACATTTGATAAAGCGATAGAGAGAATTACGGTACAGAAGTGACAGGCGTGTTGCAGGAATCACATGTGGCATTATATTCACGTTTTTCGTGTCGTGGTTTGTCGACAATGCAGGACCATACCCACCAGGAAAATACTGAAATCATCTTTACCATAATAATCTTATCTTTGTGCCTTTTACGTTCTTTTGCTATTTCCCGCTTTTTGCCATACACAGTTTTCCGAACAGAGACATAGACAGTTTTAACACAGTGAGTATGAGAATACGAAACTGTGCAACAAATTTTCCTGTTCACATACATGTTAGCAGCAAACTGTGCATTTGTGTCTGTTCGAATAATTCGGTCCTAACTTCTAATAATGAGAAACTGAAAGTGATAAATTAATGAGCAGATAAATCATGGATGCTTTATATGTATAGTCATTTTAATATTTCGCTATATAAACAGCGAAATACTAAAATGATTATATATCATGAGTATAACTAACCCCTGAAAAGTGAAATGCACTCCTCGGCTCACGGCGATACTTCCTTTAAAATAACGGCCTTTCTATTTTGTGCTCTTTTTGTATTTGTGAAATCATTTATGCATTTTTTTTTAACATGATTTTTATTTCCGAACCGATTTCAGTGTCTTTTTGTCTCAGTTTTGAGTTCTCTTCTTCCCATTGACGTTTTTGCACTGTCAATAAGGACAAAGGAGAAGTGTGCATATCTATAAGACCAAGAGCGTCTTGACTCGTGCTGTATCTTATTTGTACAAACTCCACCCCAAACTTTGGCTAATCTTCTAACTGGAGGACAGGAAAAGTCAGTTTTTAACTGGGCGTGTAGTGAAATGCTCAGAGTTTCGTCCTATTCTCTTCGCGTCATTGTTTGAGTAAAACTGTGGTTGCATTCAAGTTCTGATGCACAAAGCTCTCGTTTTACAGCTCACCTTGGCATCTTACGATTGACTTCATTCATTTCGGTGAGCTTTTCATGTTCCTTTTCACATTAAATGTCGATGGCTTAAATCGGTTTTTTCTGTTATAGCGCTGTGTATGCGTGTGTGCGTGCGTACGTGCGTGCGCGTGTGTGTGCGTGTGTGCGCGTGTGTGTATGTGTGTATGCGTGTATGTGCGTGTGTGTCTGCGTGTGTCTACATGTGTGTGTGTGCGTGTGTGCATGTGTGTGTGCGCGTGTGTGTGCGCGCGTGTGTGTGCGTGTGTGTGTGCGCGTGTGTGTGTACGTGTGTGTATTTGTGTGCATGTGTTTGTGTGTGTGTGTGTTAACCGTGCACGCACCCGCCTGTGCGTTACCATTGTTATCTTTGTCTTGTTTTTCAGTTCCGCTTCCTTTTTGCGTTGTTTATTATGCATTTTGCGCTGTGTAACAGCAGTACATCATTGGCGACGCACACTGGGCTGGCCCGTGCGATCATGCGTTTTTGCAATATTTCGCACTGTAATGAGATCGCTTGGAAACCCAGTAGCTAGAAATGTGTGACATACTGGTCCTCGAAGCCTCGGAAGTTAATTGTCTATGCGGTAGTTGGACATGGAACATTTCTTTGAAATTTCAGCTTTCCAAATTTTCTTCTTGAAGTAGCAATTTCCCTGCCAAAAATATTCACGGGACCGTACGTGATAACCACGCATGCCCGGGGGACTGAGTTTGATAAATTTAAGTCGTGCATGAGTTGGGAAAATTTCCTGAAGATTTCAACCTCCGGGCTTTTCTGATTCCCGAGTTATCTATTTATTTCGGCGCCAAAAAAATTCACGAGGCCGTACGTGATAACCATGGTTGCCTGGGAGCTGATTTTTTTAAATTTATGTTGTACATGTGCTGTGAACATTCTCTGAAAATTTCAGCCTCCCAGCTTTCCCTGGTTCCTGAGTTAGCCATTTTCGCGCCAGAAATTTTTACGGGGCCGTACGTGAGTACCACACACAGTTAGGGGCTGAATTTGGTTTTTTAAGTTGCACATGTGCCGGGAACATCCCCTGAAAATTTCAGCTCCCCAGCTTTCCTGATTCAGCGATTTTCGCGCCAGGAACTCTTACGGGGCCATACGCGGGAACCACGCATGCTTGGGGGCTGAATTTGAAATCTTTGAGTTGCATGGAGACGGGGGAGATAACCTCAAAATTTCAGCTTTCTAGCTTTTCTGGTTCCCGAGTTAACGATTTTCCCGCCAAAACTTTC